AGTTAAAATTGTTTTTTATTTTTAAACATTTTATTAATAACCCTAAAACTGTTTACTACATTAAGAAATTGTATACAAGGTTCAATAATATTTTTTTATGTCAAGACTTTCAGAAAGGAAAAAGGAATGTGTGAAATCACATGAGACATTCAATAACAGCAGCAAGCTTGTAGAAAATAAAACTCAGCATTAGTGTCTAAAAACATAATTATCAAAAAATGGTATGGATGAATAGAGTTAACAGGAACAGAAAATGACATTTATAGGTTTTATCAGGCTTGAAATCTATTCACCTTTTTAATAATACATGACAAATCCTGAATCAATAAAGGTGTACTACTGTAATGACCACCAAACCAAGTTAATTTATAGTTCCTGTTTTCTTAAAATGTACAGAAAAAACACCAGAGCAGAAATTAGCTAAGAAAATTTAGGACACATATAATAACCAGAACAATATAAAAATATGCCTATATGTTTAGTTAAAATATGTACCATATTGTAAGATTTCAACCAACATGAAACTGCTCAGCATTTAGGAATACATTCCCCATACTTTACAGTTTTTAACTTGTTAATAAAGAATATCCCCAAGCTGTACAATATACATTTCCTGTACTCTATATTCCTAGCTCTGTATAATTTTAAGAGGGAATAAAAGCCTGAACTTGTCTATGTTTCACATTATAAAGAAGTTATGTGATCAACACTTTTACAACTTGGTCCTTAACAAGCTTCTAACTTCATAAATATTATCACAATGAAGGAAATAAAGATTACCTGTTTCTTAAACAAGTCAAAAACATAAAATCAGGAACTGAACTTAAGATGTAATACTATACAATGCAGTTCATAACCTGTAACAGTTATAGAAAAAATATTCACCAACTCCAAAATTCATTCTCAAACTATAAAAAAAAAAACCTTTCAACACAACCCCTCACTAAGCAAAAACATTTTTTTTTTCAACCTTTTAAGTAACAGCATGTTTCCCCTACAAAGTGAACAAGGAAAAATTTATAATCTATTAAGTTTTCATTAAATGTTGAAACTAAAAGGTTCAAAAATTGTGCTGGCCCAAACTAAAAACAACTGTTGATAAAGTTTACCACACGAAGTTTGAAAATATTTCAATAACTTATAAATCAAAACTATATGGTGATTGACAGTAAAATAAGATATACTGTAGAATTTTTCCCCTACATACTGTAAGTAGAAGAAAACTCAGACTTCAAACTAAACAAACAATTTCTTGAAGGAAGGGTTAAAACATCACTATTGTTTTGGTGTGAACTTTCATATGTATGTGTTATTGACTGAAAAGCCACAATTGTTGCACTATTTTGATTGTACATTAAGATCCTGGACCAATGACTAGAGCTGAAACAGCAAAAGCTAGGAAGACACACCCTCCAACCAATGTCACTGAAAAGAAAAGAAAAAATATTATGCAAACTATTTCATATATTCATATATAGTACCTTATTACAGAATGAATCAACTTATTAATACATTTCTATCCTTAGCTTTCAGCGCTCCGTATTTCAAAAATTATGATTTTCTTAAAAGAAAATTGAGAGAAAGAAAATAAGAAATCATTAACATTTTTTTATCCACAGTAAAACATTACAAAGTACACAATGTATCAGTGGCGTATTTTGTGTTCCTGCGTTTACTGGCAGTAAACTAGCCTTGGGAGAAATAGTGTTTTAGTTAATATAAAAAATATTTGAGTCTTATCCATTACTAGCACAAATACATAATTACTGCATTTTTGAAAAAGCAGTGACACAAGATGTTATTTACACGAGATATAGCCATCGTTGACCACAGTGACTGTGCGGGTACTAATTATATGTCATCTATGGTGATTGGTGCAGCGAAGACAGTTCAGCCTATCAAATGTGATAAATTGTACTTTAATAATCAAAACAGGAGAAAAGAATAACTTCACTGCTTCTAAAGGTTACACTGCCCTAAATATCAATTATAGTATTTCTAGCCATGTATATACATGGAGGACAATATTTCTTATTTTCCACATTAGCAAACATAAATTAATTACTGTTTGTCTTAAAACAAATAGTTTTCAATTCCTACCTCACTTTGTGAGTTCATGAGAATGACTAATATTTAGATATTATCAGACAACAGTTACTCATTAGTAGTTTTAGGCATATGAATGTATCAATGCAATAGCACAGAATTTCACAACAGCAAGATCACCTCTGCCATCATCTGCTGTTGTAGTGGCTGCTACATTGCATGTTTGAATCAACTTGGCAGCAAATTAAAATAAACTGAATTATCACAGGAGTCTCATCTGTAAACAATGAACTTATCATTTTTTTTTTAGAATTTTTTGCTCATTCCAAAGTGTAGGTTAATAATTGCTAAGAAACTATCATCCCTTGAGAATATAGTTATCTGTGTCTTATTTTTCACATTATTTTCTTTCTTCTCCATAGATTATTACTACAATTAACATTAATTCTAACAATCTAACCTCCTGACTATCTCTAAATCTTTTTTACAATTACTGTACTCAAATGTAATACACATTCAATCATAAATACATAGAGTAGTTGGAGATTCAAGCTTCAACTGGGGTCTCCATGAAACAGTTACTACTGGTTACTAAAAGAAGCAATATGCCTGCATGTATCTGGGTTAGTGTTCGATTGGCTTGTTCAGTAAGAATTACAAAACAGTGTCACTATATGCATAATAAAGTGAAACTTATACACAGCTATAGAAGTAAAAAAATATTTAATAACTTGACATGTCAGAACAATTATTTTGTAATGGATCAACAGCAATTCACACGTAGTATATGATATGTAACCCTATCACATGGAGAAACAAAATGCATACACAATCATAAGCAAGAATTTATCAAATATTTAAGTTGAAATAATTATTTGGTGCAAATTTCAAAGATCTAGTTATTGTAGGAGCATAACTGTTATGTTATGAAGCTCACCATAATAAAATACAAACTACTTATCAACTCAAATCAAAAAAGAAAATTGAAAGCATTTTTCTGAAACTAGTCTACAATAATTTAGACACTACAATGTAATTAGATGGAGTATCTAATTAGTTTTGTATGTTGGTGAAGAATTAAAAAACACTAAATCTAATATATCATTTCTTTTATGTTTGAAGTAATAGAGAAATTAGTTGTCAATAGACCATGTGTTTCAGTTATAGAACTTTTAGAGTTTCTGAAGATTAAACAATAAAATGTAGTTACCAACGTGTCTGTTTGTTGAGCATTATTGTTAAAAACAAAACAAAATTTGTATTTATCTACATAATTACCTGTTCGTACAGATATTCTTTGGGCAACAATTCTTCCACCTAGAACAGCTAACAGGGTACATATGGCATGTCCAACAGCAGCACCAACAGTTACACCAATAGCATTCTAAAAATTACAAGTTTGGTATTAAAGCAGGTACACTTACCAAAATAGTGTTTCACTAGCATTTCCATAATTATGTACATAGGATAGGTCAAGTAGCAGGATCAGTGGGTTTTAATAAACCTAGTAATACACTTAACATGTACAACAGCTAGACCACGGTATTTTTAATAACACTATTAATCATGTACATTTGACATATCCAACAACTGTATCAAGGGTTTTTAACAAACCTAGTAATGATGTACATATGACACATCCAAAAGCTGGATCAAGGGTTTTTAATAGTCCTAGTAATGACATATCCAACAGCTGGATCAAGGGTTTTTTAATAGACCTAGTAATGACATACATATGACATGTTCAACAGCTGGATCAAGGGTTTTTTAATAGACCTAGTAATGACATATCCAACAGCTGGATCAAGGGTTTTTTTAATAGACCTAGTAATGACATACATATGACATATCCAACAGCTGGATCAAGGGTTTTTTAAAAGACCTAGTAATGACATATCCAACAGCTGGATCAAGGGTTTTTTAATAGACCTAGTAATGACATATCCAACAGCTGGATCAAGGGTTTTTTAATAGACCTAGTAATGACATACATATGACATGTTCAACAGCTGGATCAAGGGTTTTTTAATAGACCTAGTAATGACATACATATGACATATCCAACAGCTGGATCAAGAGTTTTTAATAGTCCTAGTAATGACATATCCAACAGCTGGATCAAGGGTTTTTTAATAGACCTAGTAATGACATACATATGACATATCTAACAGCTGGATCAAGGGTTTTTAACAGACCTGGTAATGAGTTACATATGACATGTCCAACAACTGTATCCAGGATTTTCAAAACAAGAACCATAACTCGAGCACTTTTGAATAGTTGACTATTCTTCTTCAGGAGAATAAAGGGTTATGTTTAATTAATG